ACATGCCTTTGACTCAGCAGGAAAGGATCCAATGGGGAGAAAAGCGCAGGACGAAATTTGATCAAACATGGCGTTTTTGAGCTTTTCCTCTTGTTGAGTCTTGAATGGCTTGAATTGTTGTGTTGAAGATGAATTATTAGACAAGCACTGCACAACTGAGAAGGCAGCAATTTTAATGGAAAAAGAATAAGCTCATATCAATAATTAACTCAACTGGTCTTTATAAAATCAATTACATGAGCAAGGAATTGCTCGAAATCAATTTAGAAGTTTAACAAATTTATGTTTTACAAATTAGAATTAATTAAAGGAATATATTGTGTCAGAAACTCCTTAATCAACTGCCTGATTTAATTTTTTCATTATTTAAATAGCATGTAAACATCAGATCCATTCTAAAAATATAAATATAATCTTCAATAAAAAAATGTATGGAAAAATTAGTATTCATTAAACCATACATGAATAAAAGAATCCTCAATCAGCAGAAATAAAACAAAAAAAGAAATAAATTGAAAACTAAACATATACCTTAAATCATAGATAGACCCAAACTCAATCAAAACAACAGAGCCATACAAAAACAGAAGAAAACCACCATGATTAAGAGGAGCAAAAGCAGCTTTTTTTGAACGAAAAGAACTCTGAAAAGTTCATGAATTGCAATTAAAAATAAGAACATAGCTGCAAGTTTCTACAGAACAAGAAAGCAGGATACTCCAAAATAGAAACTTGAACCCAATTTACAGTATAGTAGCAAAAATTTATATCATTGACAAATATATATGCATTTCCTAAGCTGAAATCACCAAAAACAAGTTAAAAAACACATTTTTAGCATATATTTGCTGTTTAGTTTAAATTCAGAGCTGAAATTCGAACCAGAATCCCTGCGGCCTCCGCAGCTATCCTTTGCACTGGATTCGCTTCCACCTATTCCCATGAAATCCCTCTCCATCAAAGTGATCGGAGATTCCAATCCGCCGTGGCTCTTCCCAGAACTCCCCTGTTCTCCTGAAACATTACCTGAACTCCTCTCTCTCTCTCTCTCACTCTCTCTCTAGCGGCATATGGTTGCTTGCTTTGCATCTCCATCACTACCTATACCATTTAACTATGTATTTATTTTTATGAATCTCCACTCATTTCTTAATATTAAAAATAAATTTAAAATTTTGTTATCTTATTTTATGAGGAAGAATATATGGCTTTAATTTTATGAAAGAATTGTTTAAACTGTTGACAATACTAAAATATTTCTTATGGGATTTCATATAAAATCATTTAAATTATATAGTTAGAAAACTTGTTGAAAGATCTCGAAAATACTAATGATTATATTTCATATTTGTTATAACTCTATATTTTGAAAGATCTCGAAAATACTAATAATTATATTTCATATTTGTTATAACTGTATATTTAGAGGGTTATAAATTAGATTAGGGACATTGGGAATCTCTATTTATTTCTCTACTTAATTAGAGAGATTAGTTGTCTCTTATATTTTGTTATTATTCATTTATTTTTCTACTGTATTATGGTTTTATTGATTTCCTTACCAGTAAGTTCTGTAATGGGTATTTATACCCCTCTTTGCATCAATAAAATCAAGTAATTCAAAAGTATTTAGTATTTTTCTAAATTTCAACTTGGTATCAGAGACAAATTTTCTACCCTAAATCATCGTCGTCGAAGAACCGTGAAACTCCCTTCCCACCGACCTTTTTTGCGGGAAGGGAGGAAGGCTTTCTCACCCTTTGGTCTTTTTCTTCGTCTGCTTTTTTAATTATCTTCCATAGCTGGAACCAATCTCCTCATGTTTCGTTAATGGCGGCACGGCTTTTCTTCTCTCCCGACATCTTCTTGGTGGCCACTAAAATCTTAGGAGTGTGGCAACCATCAACCGACAACCAGCTTCCAGCTTCACGAACCCTACGACTCCTTTGAAACTGGAGGATGTCGTCAGCAATGGCAGCCACGGCGTCGAGCCCTTTGTTATGATTTTTGGAAATCTTTTTCGCTCGTATCCTGGTTTATTGGCTTCTTCTTTTTTCGCAACCTAACTCTCTTCGGGGCTCATCTACTTTTAAGAGGCCATTACAGGAGCAACAGAGGGAGAAAAAGCTGAACTCTGCGTCGAATTGATTACTGGTTAGATAAGAGATGCAGACCGCACAAGCTTGGTTCACCGGATACCCAAGTAGTAGCGAGCAGCGGAAATCCTCCTCCTCTCTTCTTTTGTTGTGTCGAGATCTGTGGAGGATGACAGATCTTCTGCTCTCGGATTCGATATCGAGACCGCTGTTAGGACCACCAACGATAAGGTGACTGGGACATTCAACGTGGTCTCAAAAAGTGTAAAAAGAAATACCTGCAAGCTTCCAAACTTCTACAAGCAGTGTTCCTTCTGAGAATGCTCTCATGTACTTTGGACTGCTACTTGCTAGTGGAGTGTTTTTTATCTTTCTTGCATTCACCATGTTCCTTCCAGTCCAAGGAATCAACTGATTCACTCTGCCTTATTCATACCTCGCCGCCGGCGATCTGTAAGAGACTCCGTCTCTTTCTCTAAATTTAGTGTGGAAGATTCATCAAATTTGTCGTTTTTTTGTGGATATATCCAATTAAAACAGAGGTGTATGCAGAAACTGGGGGCATGCTCTCTGCCTCCATATCTAAAGACCCCTGCGCTTCTCTGGCGGGTTCGCGTCAGATGAGGCTGCGGAGGCTAATAGCAGCGATTCAGATGAGATCGAGCTCGATCTCTTGCTCGGCTGTTCACCGTTTTTCCCGGCACTGGCTCCGCCGCCGCTTTCGCCGCGTCCAACGTCGAGCAGTATGAGTAGTACAATGGAGTCATTCAGCGGTCCTCTTCTCTCCATCCCCCGACCGCCGTTGATCAGGCCGCCCGCAAATCCGAGGCAGTTACATGTTCTAACCAGCGAAGAAGACTACCACAGCGACTGCGATTCCTCCTCTTCCGTCATTAACGATGGAGATGTGGCATCTGAAAACCGCTTTTGGCCAATCTCAACCTGCTTCCCCTCTTAGTGATGATCTGCAGAGCACCGTTCTTCGTCTTTGAGGAAGGATCTAAAGAAAAGAAAAGGAATTTGGTTCTCTTCTTCATCGTTCTTCTACTCCTCTTTACTTACACTTATTTTAATTTGGTTATCTCTATGATTCAGTTCCTTGATCGGGATTTGTGACCGTATCAATTCAGATTTGAAGCTTTATATTTTAATCTAAAAGGAATGAGCAGCTTCTTCAACTGTAGATCCGGTTCATCCCGATCATCCCTCTTTCGGCTGTTCATTTTTCCTTCGAAGCCGGATTTGACACCATCATAAAGATCATTTCAAGCAAATTCAGTAAACTCGAGAGGGCGGCACTAGCGATGCCGCCACCCACCTCAACATCATCTCGTCGGAGATATCGCTGCCATGGATCGGACAAGCCGTCCATTTCTCCTGCAGTATCTTTTCATCCCTGCCCAAGCGTCAGGGGGAGCTGCGTTTCCAACCAGACCTTCTCCAAGCAGCCAACAGAATCGGAGACCTCTCTACATTCTTCTCTGCATCCGGCAATTCCTATAGCTTCTGTTGCACCTCGCTTTTCCATTGTGCAGGCGTCGTCAGTCGTCAGAGTCAATTTTTTCAGCCTTCGTTGTGCCTCAATTTTTTCCTTGTGTAGGTGTCCGGTTCATTATAACATTACGATTTCAGTGGTTTTTCCTGCGCAGGCATTTGGGCAAATGCAGGCTTGCATTTTCAGCAAATAACAAGCTTTATTTTCTCTTTATAGTAGAAGTTTTGGTTCGTCAATGAGATTTGTTTTCTCTCTCCATGGCAAATCACGAAAGATCTCCACTTGAAATCCCAATTTTCACTCTCTGGTGGAAATCATTGTCCCCCGCAGAACCGCACAAGCAATGACTTCCTTGCGGGCTCTCCCATGGACCATCGAAGCACCTACCTACAACCAATCCTCCCCAAGTTCTTCAGGCCCGCTGCCTGATCTCTTCCTCTTGTATGGATCTTTTTCTATTGCAGGCTCTCAATCAAATCTCTGGCCACATCCTTTTTGGTTAATCGTAGGCCCTCCTCTGGAGCTCCTTCTGTTCTTCCGAGCACCAGATTTCTCCCTGCATGAGCTCATTTGTTCAAATTATGTTGCTTGAATCTTCTTAGCAACAAACCTTCCTTCACCGAAAATCATTCCCTGCTGACAACCAGATCTATCCCTTGATGGCTTTTTCTACCACTGGAACTCTCTCCTACGACATTTTCTGCCGCCAAAACTTCTTGCGGCATTTCCTGCCGCTAGAACCTCCTGCGGCTTTTCATGCCGCCAAAAATTCTTGCGACCTTTCCTATCGTTAGAACTTCCTGCTGCCTTTCCTGCCGCCAGAACTCTCTGCAGCCTTCTTGCAACTTTCCTGCATCTCTCCTGTAGCATTATCAGTCATGTAATTATCAGTCAATCGATGACTTATAAATTCATCAATTGAGTTTAGCCCTTGTTCAGGCTACTCTCAGGCTTTGACCACTCTCAGACTTCGACACTCTTAGGCTTCAGCATTCTCGGCTTCGAGACCTTTGGTTTCTGCACTTACGGTTTGAGGATTGTTTTCTTACATGTCAAGTCAGCATACCAAAATTAATGTTTTCAAATTCAAGTTGAATATATTTTTCAACCATGTTCAACTTGAGGGAAAGTGTTAAAAGATCTCGAAAATACTAATGATTATATTTCATATTTGTTATATTCTACATTTAGAGAGTTACAAATTATATGAGGTATGTTGAGAATCTCTATTTATTTATCTCCTTAATTAGAGAGATTAGGTGTCTCTTATATTTTGTTATTATTCATTTCCTTTTTCTAATGTATTATGTTTTTATTGTTTTCCTTATCAGTAAATCATGTACTGTGTATTTATATCCCTCTTTGCATCAATAAAACTAAGTAATTCAAAAATATTCCGCGTTTTTCTAAATTTCAACAAAACTTAATGTCAATATTTAATAAAATATATTTTATTAGAATTTTTAAAAACATGATCTTAAGAGGTGTATGGGTGCGATCGGGATTTTTGTTAAATAGCATTTAGTAAATCCGATAAATCCGATTAAGACGGAGATAAGCTCGTTGATGGCAAAATAAATTCTTTAAATCCATCTCTTGGATTTACTTCATAATAATGAAAAGTGGGACGAAATAAAAACTTTCGATTTAACAAAATCTTTGATATATTTTGAATTTAAGTTAAATTCATCTGTAAATATTCTAATTAGCATGCTACCTTTAACTTGAATGATAGTCGAATTTTGCACTAAATATTAAAAAAAATTATTTTTTTTATTTTCTATGAAATTTTCAGAAGGAAAAGAAACTAAAGGTTAAATTAGATTGACAAATACAAATATATTTTAATCAATTATTTATTTATTTATTTAAAATCTGTGAGTGTCAAAATTTAAATGGGCCAATAAAAAAATCATTTTGCGTTGCTTTCATCTCAATCCACCGGGCGACGTCCGAAAAAGCAGGCTCGGCACGCGGGGCACAAGGGAAATGACCGGCCGGGTGGGTGAGGAATGACCGGCTGAATTGGTTTTCTCTCACGTGCGACTACAAAAGCCATAGCCGACCTAGATTCCGTGCGACCTATCGGCCCGTCGGATTTGGGGGCTTCGGGCCCACAAATTTTCCTCGCGATTTGAGACAGGCGGCAGACTTGCAGTGAGCACCGGCGACCCGCGGGCGATTAATCGGGTTCCGCGGGCCGATTCTCGTTGAAATTCGTCCGCAATCAGTGCCGCGTTGTTTCTATTGGACGGTGTGTTGTCTCGCGGAAGTCTTAGTTTTAGCTGTATAGCTTCCCTTTTTATATTTCCGGTCCAACTAGAATTTTAGGGCAATTAAATACGAAAAATTATTGGATACATCTAAAGTCCAATGAATCACCTTCAGGTGTAATTAACAGAAAAGCAAAAAAAAAAAAAAAAAATTTTATTGTGATCCGGCTCGATAATACAGAGAACTATTTCTCTCGTGTTATTCCGCGTTATTCATG